ATATCAGCAACAGCATCTACTCCTGTTTAGGGAACTCGTGTTCAGGACCAGGCCAGCTTCTTCTCACTGTAAACACGACCCACCTGATACACTGTTTCCATTTGACCAATGAGGAGGTGGAGGCTCAAAGAAGTTGGAGGGCGGGGCACCCTGGCTCACAGCTGTCATCCCAGCACTTAGGGAGGCTGAAGAGGGTGGATCACCTGAGGTCAGGAGTTCAAGACCAGCCTGGCCAATATGGTGAAACCCCGTCTCTACTAAAAATACAAAAAAAAAAAAAAAAAAAATTAGCTGGGCATGCTGGTGGGCGCCTGTAGTCCCAACTACTGGGGAGGCTGAGGCAGGGGAATTGCGTGAACCCGGGAGGCAGAGCTTGCAGTGACCAGAGATCGTGCCACTGCACTCCAGCCTGGCGATAGAGTGAGACTCCGTCCCCGGGGGGGGGAAAAAAAAAAGATGCTTAAGGATTCAGCATTTGAACTCAGGCTGCCTGACTCTGGGAGGCCTTTCCTGGGCCTGCTCTGTGGGCGGGAGGAGAAGCTTGAGATTCAGTACGGCCTCCCCCACAGAAGCACATTAAGCAGAGGAGTCAACCCTGAGGGGCGAGGCGGGGAGGAGCCGGGCTGCACCTCAGCTCGCAACCTTCTGTGCTTCCTCGCTCTGATGAATTATTCATACCCACGACCAGGCAGCAGATCAATAATGCAGGAGCAGAAGCCCTGGCTGGGCCCCGCTTCCAGCTGACCGGCTGGGCTGCCACCTCCGGGAAAGGACCCCAGCCGGGCACAGCGGGCAGGCCTGTCCAGGACGGCCTCGCAGACTGTGTCCTGCTCGGGCGGTGCCCAGGACCTCTGAAATCCAGCTACGCTCAGCACACCAGGCTGGGCACCTGGCCGCAAACATCCCAGGAAGGAGAGCCTTTTGCAGTTTTCATGGTTTTTCTGTCTAGGAGGGCCCATTTTGCGGTCAGCACAAAGGCAGCATGTGAACCTGGGCCAACTCTGGGAGCCGGAATTCCTGCCCCGGGACTGGGGTGCGAGAGGCCTCACAGCGTCCTGGGATCCCTGCCTTCTCCCACTTCCTCCAGGCCTAGAGTTGGGGTGGAGACCCAGGAGAACCCAGGGTGTTAATTTTAGTTGTGAGTAGAAGTTTCCATCCAAGCAGCTCTGAGACATCCACTTGGCTGTCCTCCAACCCTGGGAAGGTTCTAGAAGGTTCCAACATCCCCCAGAATTGCACTTTTGAGCCATGCCCACCCTGCCCCTTTGTGACCTCCCACCCACACAAAGGTCATTTTTTCCACCTGGGCCACAGCCTCGCTGTGACCACGCTGGACGTGGGGTGCAGGCCTCTTCTGCTGTGAGACCCCCCCAAAGTTATCTGGGGTTTCTCTTATCCTCTTAGTTTCTCGGTACTGCCTAGATGTTCTCAGTTTGTTACAATAAATTCTAGGATGAAGAAAGAAAGGAAGAGAGAGAGGGAGGGGGGTTATTTTTAGAGGTGAGATAAGGGCCCCACTGGCAGGGGTCAAGCCTGTGAGTGCCTCTCAGCTCCATGGCTCTGCCTTTCTGAGACTGCAGGAAAGCAGGCCCCGCAAGGAACACTGAGAGCGGAAGCTGCCTCAGGCATCTGATCAGAGCTGGTCCACTATTTATTTATTTATATTTTTGACATGAAGTCTTGCTCTGTCACCCAGGCTGGAGTGCAGTGGCTCGATCTCGGCTCACTGCAACTTCTGCCTCCCGGGTTCAAGTGCTTCTCCTGCCTCAACCTCCTGAGTAGCTGGGACTACAGGCACCCACCACCATGCCCGGCTAATTTATGTATTTTTAGTAGAGATGGGGTTTCACCATATTGGCCAGGCTGGTTTTGAACTCCTGACCTTGTGATCGGCCCGCCTCGGCCTCCTGAAGTGCTGGGATTACAGGCTGGCGACCGCCCCGGCCTAGTCCAACTTTAAATTGCATACAGAGCACCTGAGCATCTTGTGAAAGGGCTGATTCTGATTGATTGAGGCCAGGGTGTGGCCTGAGTTTTCTGACAGCTCCAGGTGATGTCCATGCTAATGGTCCGGGGACCACACTTTGAGTAGCAACAGCCTCTAGAGTCCAGACTGGTGGGGCCCAGCACTGAGTGTTCACGGGGATCACCTGGAAGGCTTTTAAAACTCTGGTGTGTGGCCGGGCGCAGTGGCTCAAACCTGTAATCTCAGCACTTTGGGAGGCCGAGACGGGCGGATCACGAGGTCAGGAGATCGAGACCATCCTGGCTAACACGGTGAAACCCATCTCTACTAAAAAATACAAAAAAAGTAGCCGGGCGAGGTGGCGGGCACCTGTAGTCCCAGCTACTCGGGAGGCTGAGGCAGGAGAATGGCGTGAACCCGGGAGGCGGAGCTTGCAGTGAGCCGAGATCTGGCCACTGTACTCCAGCCTGGGCGGCAGAGGGAGACTCCGTCTCAAAAAAAAAAAAAAAAAAAAAAAAAAAAAAAAAGAAACTCTGGTGTGCAAGCCGCACCCAGACCAATTAAGCCAGATTCACTAGCAGTGGCACCCATGTAGCAGGATTTTTAAAATTTTTTATTTTTAATTTTTTTTGAGACAGAGTCTCACTCTGTCACCCAGGCTGGAGTGCAGTGGTGCGATCTCAGCTCACTGCAACCTCCACCTCCTGGATTCAAGCGATTCTCCTGCCTCAGCCTCCGGAGTAGCTGGGATTACAGGCGCCCGCCACCACGCTCGGCTGATTTTTGTATTTTTAGCAGAAGACGGCATTTCACCATGTTGGCCAGACTAATTGCAAACTCCTGACCTCAGGTGATCCACTTGCCTCGGCCTCCCAAAATGCTGGGATTGCAGGTGTGAGCCACTGTGCCTGGCCGGTAGGAGGATTTTTTTAAACATCTCAGGTGATTCCAGTGTGTGGCCAGGCTTGAAAAGCCTGCTCGGGGCTGAGTCCCTCCTTTACACAGGGAGACTGAGGTCCAGAGGGAGGCCCGGAGCTGCCCGAGGTCACACAGCCAATGCGTGAAAGGCCTGGGACCGGGCCAGGCGCTGCTGGTTCCTGGACACAGGGCTGTCTCCTGTTTTGCATCAAGGAACGGGAAGGAGGTGAGGTACGGCTGGGCCTGGAGGAGATCAGAACATCACGGTCAGCCTGGGGTGCCCAGAGCCTCCCAGATTGTGGGATGGGAGGAGCTGCCTGCTGAGCCCCAGGACGCGGCCTTTTGTGTGTCCTGCTCTCTGTCGGGCCTCCCACAGCCCTGTTTACAGACAGGGAGCCAGAGCCCCCGGGTCCCAGAAGCACAGCGTCTGCCACGGAAGCCTCTGCACGGTGACAGCCTCACTTTCCCCTTTCATGTTCTCCTCCCAACCTGCTTTTAAACTCCTGAAATCAGTGTCTGACAAATGATCCCAAAGAAACTTCAGGCCCCCATGCCTGCTGTAAAAGGGCGTGGCTGTCGCGGACAGAGGGTGTGTAGAAGGGGCCGGCTCACCTGAGTGTGGCTAAGTTCCTGACATTACACTGGTGGCATTTCACCTTAATGACCTCCAGATGGCTGGGCGCAGTGGCTCATGCCTGTAATCTCAGCACTTTGGGCGGCGTGAGGTCAGAAGTTCGAGACCAGCCTGGTCAACATGGTGAAACCCCATCTCTAAAAATACAAAATTTAGCCAACGTGGTGGTGGGTGCCTATAATCCCAGCTACTTGGGAGGCTGAGGCAGGAGAATCGCTTGAACCTGGGAAGGCGGAGGTTGCAGTGAGCTGAGATCGCGCCATCGCACTCCAGCCTGGGCAACAAGAGCGAAACTCCATCTCAAAAAAAAAAAGTGTAAGTATACATGTATATCATATCTTCAAGTTCAATCAATGTTTATTTTGAAGCTTGTCAGCTTCAACATATTGGTCAGGCTGGTCTCAAACTTGTGGTCTCAGGTGATCTGCTCACCTCAGCCTCCCAAAGTGCTGGCAGCAGTTATAGGATGTGGAAACGGTCAACTGCCTCGGCAGAGCTGGAGAGGCCCCTCTCACCACAGCATGCTTCTCGGGGACTGTCCTGCACCACTGGCTACTGACTGTATGACCTCAGCTAAGCCCCTGGTGGCTCCTGACTGTATGACCTTGGCTAAGCCCCTGGATCTCTCCGAGTTTTATTTCTTCCCAGGAAAAGGGGAGGATCCCTCGTGGAAGCGTTGTGAGGATTAAATGAGGTAATTCCAGCAGAGCAGGGAGCCCGGCACCTGGCATGCAGGAAGCGGTGCTGTGGCCTCCAGTCTGGATGGAAGGAGCTTTCACTCACAGGAAACCTGCAACCCGGAGGCTCCTGGTGGCTGGGGCCCTGCCTCCTTCCTTCTACAGACTTGGCCTCAGCACCTGCTACATGCCAGGCCCCGTACTGAACCCTGGGGATGCAGACATGTGGGACAGCCTTCCTGGACCATGTGACTCTGATCTAAAGGAAGCGCTCTAGGCAGGCAGAGAGTGTCTCAGTAGTGAGGCCAGCAGGGAGGGGAACCTGGTGGTGTAGGGACTGTCCCAGGAGGTCTGGGAGCCAGGAGCAGGGACATGGCTCAGCTCACTGCAGCTCCAACTTCTCTGGCTCAAGCGATCCTCCCACCTCAGCCTCCTGAGCAGCTGGGACCACGGGTGTACACCACCACGCCTGGCTGATTTTTAAATGTTTTGTAGAGACAGAGTCTCATTATGTTGCAGGCTGGTCTCGAACTCTTGCCTGCCCTCTTCTCTCCATGCCTGAGATCTATGCAGAAAGGACTAAAGGGAGATGGGACTGGCATTACCACCTATTTTACAGTTGGACAAACTGAGTCCTGGAGGGGACAAGTGACTTGCCCAGAGGAATGCCTCGAGTTGGCCACGGAGTGTGCCAGGTTCCCGGTGCCCAGCCTCAGCCTGACCCTGGGGCCACAGGCGGAGTGGACTGCTCACCCCCTTATTGTTTGGAACCCCCTTGACCCCCGCAGCACAAACAGGCCGGAGGCGAGCATGCACATTCAGGTTTATTTCTTTCCATGCGAAGACACACAGCGGTGTCACTGGTGTAGGCAGTGTGAGGGGTGGGTCTTGATACTCCCTGTGGGTCACAGGGGGAGGCTGGGTTAGTGCCTTAAGCCGGGCCACTGTGTTCATGCAGGTCAGCAGGGCCACTGACCCCTCCGGCGTCCAGGTGGTGTGGGGCAGGGGCTGGGGGACCCTCCGTCCAGGTCCCCTGGCGTCCAGAATGGCTTTCTCCTCCAGGGCCCGAGCTCTCCTCCTGCTCTGTGCTCTGCGGGCCTCCGCCTCCTCCACACACCTCGGGGGCCTCTGAGCTCTGTCCCTGGCGCCCGAGGAAACTCTGAAGTCATCCTCGCCTGCCTGGAAGAGCGCCCTGGCTGTGCCCATTCCTGGGGCATCTGCAGTGGCTTCCCCTAAGCAGGGCCTGTGGGCTGTCCTGGATTCTGAGTGTGAACAAGCGTGTCTGTGTGTGTGTGGAGGAGTGCATGGCGGAGCCTATTTGTGCGGGTGTGAAAAGGTCTGGGCATGTGTGCGCTCCGAGGGCACCTAGAGTCCCTTCGGGTATCGTGTTCCTCCCGTGACAATCCCTCAACCATCGGTTCGTTTCTCTCCTCTCCCTGGGTTGCTGAGGCTGAGGACCCCGGGGGCCTGCCGGGAAAACACCCATGCATCATCTCCTTCCAGAGCCCGTGCGGGGCCAGTTCCATCGACCTCACGTCTCCCCCGTGTCACGTGACTTCACGAGTGACACAAAGACTCAGTGCTCACACCCTTCCCCCACAAATAGGGGCATCGGTTTTGGCCTCAAAGATCCCATTAAGCAAACCCAACCAGTCCCTTCTGTATGACCAGGAGAGGCTGGAGTTTATTCTGCAGGTGGGGGACGGACGTAGGAACACCAGCTCCAAAGGACCAACCTGGCACCCCTGAGCCCTGCACCCCTGCCCTGCAGCAGTCTCATGGGCTCTGGAAGGCTCAGAGCTCCAGCTGTGCATAGACCCAGGGCCCCTCCCTGCAGACAGAACCTCTGTGACCCTGGGCCTCTGAGGAGGGTGGGGAGATGAACAAGGGCCCTGGAGAGGAGGCAGGAGGGTCCTGATGGGGCACAAAGGATGCTGACTTCAACAGCCTTGGGCCAGCCTGACTGTGGCTGGGAACCCTTCCCATGAAGGCGTTGACTCTGGTTGTGAGGTGGGGCCTCCTAGGGCAGGACAGCCTGGAGCTCCCCTCTCCAAGGCCCGGGAGCTGCAGTCGGGGGCGGGGGTAGGCGGGGGCAGGAGAGGTGCCTGTGGCTGGAGCCTGGGCCAGGGAGAAGTCTAGGGAAAATCATGGGCCTGGGACGGGGGAAGAGGCCGAGGACCCCGCTTGGCTCCTTTCGGGGATCCCATTAGGTCCTAAGACAGGCCGTGGCATCCAGGCCCCAGGCTCTGTGCATGCAAGTTTATTCCCAAACCTGGTCCCCCTACTCTGCAGACGGGGCCCTTCAGCCGAGCCCTTCCCTCGGTCTCAGGACTGTCAAACAGACCCCCATAAAAACTCTGGCCCACGCCCTTGCAGGTGGCACAAACGCCCCTGACAGCCTGGGACCCCTTGGGAAGTCCCCCAGGAATGGTCCCAAAACCTCCTCCAGGGAAGGCCCCGGCTGTTTGTGGATGGCCAGGGGCCCAGGGCCAAGCGCAGAGCATAGGGCTGGGCTGGAGGCCTGAAACCACCACCTGAGACACACCACCGGGGCCCCGAGCTCGCATCCCAGGCCATTGCGGAGGCCACGGCAGGACAAGAGCTCAGACCTCGGCCCTCCCCACTGACTGACCTTGGCCAGGTCTGGTCGGTGCCCCGGGCTACAGCAGAAGTAGGAGGAACAGGCAGACTGGCTTGTCCTGGGAGACATCCTGGGACCAGAGTCCTCTAGAGATGCTTCCAAAGCTGACAGGTTTGGGAAGAGGCATGCGGGTCACACCGTCCCAGCACCTGTCTTCACAGACACGCCTGCCTCTCGGCACCATCACCTTGCAGCGGAGGATGTCAAGTGAGGCGGTTGCCTCCTTCCCGGGAGCTGCACCCCCACAGGTCCTGTGGCGGGGGTGTCCCGGGCCTGTGCTGAGCACAGCTCCACCTCTGTGCTTGGGGCCCTGGCTGGGATCGCAGCAGGCGTGTGACACGAAGCATGCAAACAGTCTGTTCTCTCCCCGCTTGAGAAAAATACAAAAGATGAGGCCCCACGTCTTTGCTCCTGGTCCACAGACACGAAGGAACTCTGCTGCGTCTCTCCCCGCCGGCGTGTGTCTCGTTTGTGGGGCTGGGTTTTTTCCTCATCCTGGCAGTTTCGTTCTTTGGTAGAACCCGGGAAATTGTGCGAACGAGAAACAAGCCAGAGTGCTGGGGTTGAAATCCCAGGACACGCCCAGGAGAGTAAACCACGTCACCCGTCGGGTTCGCTGAGCTTTCCTTCCTCTCTCCAGGCTTTCCCGTCGGATGGCGGCTGACAATGGGTGACTGGGGAGTTTCCCTCTGAGTTTGTGCTTTTAGAACTTGGGGACAGGGGAATGCTTGACAGTCACCACCCCGGCCTCCCGCGGTGTGTGGGATGTGTGGGTCAGAGGTCTCCTGATGGCCAGGGCCGGCCTCTGCTAGCCCAGCTCCCTGGTTAAGTTTATTTCTTCTGAACTGTAAAGAAAAGAACAGATAAGGCAGAACAGGGCTCAGAACCCTGGCTCTTCAGGTCCCTGATTGGAGGATTTGGGTTTCTGGTTCCCAGTGGGAAATGGTAATAGGGATAAGGCTAAGGATTGGGGACCTCTTTGTTTTGGGGTTCTTGGAGAAACTGAACGCCTGCCAATAAGAAGACTGCGGCCTCGGGACCGGCTCAGAGGTGGGCACTGGGTTAGAGGTGGGCATGCAACCCTAACTGAGCCAATCTGAATCAGTCCTGAGACGTTCGCTAGGTAACTATTGACACTTCTTTCCCTGCTTAGTTACTGGACTGATTAAAATGTGTGCCACTCTGGCCGGGCACGGTGGCTCACGCCTGTAATCCCAGCACTTTGGGAGACCGAGGCAGGCGGATCACTTGAGGTCAGGAGTTCGAGACCTGCCTGGCCAACGTGGTGAAACCCCATCTCTCCTAAAAGTATAAAAATTGAATTCTACCATATACATTGCTTGCTTCTGGGGTTCCCCGGCTGGCTGTGCGGGGATTTTAGTGTTTACAAAGCACAGTCACATCCGTTATCTGGGGTGATGCTTACAAAAGCCTCTGTGCTGAAGGCTCTTTCCTGCCACTTGATACCAGCAAACACTGAGGCTTAGCTAGTCAGGAACCGGCCCGGTCCCAGGCCCATCAGAGCTGAGGCTAGAGCTCCTGGCCGCTGACTCTGAGGCTGTGCACTTTCCACACCCTTGCCATCGATTCACTCTCCAGGCATCAGACAAGCCTGCTAGCCCCTCCCTGCTCGGCCGGTCCCTGCTGGGAACTGGTCGCTTTTCTGGAGTGGGAAGATAAGGCCGGGGCCCCCACCGTCCCTTCTCCTTCCCCCAACCCACCACCTCTGTCCCTGAGGCTGGGTACACCCTTGCGCAGTCTTCCCACCGGGCAAGCTGGCCCCCTCCTCTCCAAGGAGCTGGGTTTCACCTGTGAAGTTGACGGTCACGGCCACCGTGATGATGACAATGCCCATGACGATGAGGGTGACGCTGAGCAGCCGAGCCAGGCGGCCCAGCCTCCGGGCGCCGTCCACGTTGCCCTGTTGCATGCTACTTCGAGACTGCGGAGAGAGTATGGAGAGACCCCGGGAACCGGGAAGCCTGTCAGCTTCATGGGCCTCAGCAGGCAGCCCTGGGGTGGTCCTGAGCCTGGGCCTCCATCCTGTCCCCATGCCAGCCCACACTCTAGGGGAGAGAAAGAGGGTTCCCCCTGGAGAAGTGGCCGGGGCCTCTTGTGCTGACCCCTAACCACGCCTGTCCCTTACTGGCTGGGGACAGCTGGGAGCAGAACCAGAAAGCCTGGCGCTTCTCAGGGTGGTGGTGGAGGGGGCGGCGGTGGCAGGTGGGAGGCTAGAGACTGAGGGCCTGAGAAAGTGGACCAGCTCCAGGCCAACTGGCAAGAACAGCCAGGCCAGGCCCCCCGGACTCCAGCGCAAGGCTCACTTCTGCAGAGGCACTGGGATCAAAGACAGCCCCTGGGCTCTTCCTACAGCCGACACACCGGCCTCCTGTCCCCCGTGGGCACCCTCCACCCCCATTGCCATAAAAAGAGACATTGTCGGCCGGGCACAGCGGCTCACGCCTGTAATCCCAGCACTTGGAGAGGCTGAGGCGGGTGGATCACAAGGTCAGGAGTTCGAGACCATCCTGGCCAACATGGTGAAACCCCGTATCTACTAAAAATACAAAAATTAGCTGGGTATGGTGGCGGCGCCTGTAGTCCCAGCTACTCGGGAGGCTGAGGCAGGAGGATGGCATGAACCTGGGAGGCGAAGCTTGAAGTGAGCCAAGATCGCGCCACTGCACTCCAGCCTGGGTGACAGAGCAAGACTCTCTCAAAAAAAAAAAAAAAAAAAAAAAAAAAAAAAACTGTCTTCACAGCCTCCATTTCCCACCCAAGAACCACATCCTTGTTCAATCGAGCCCACTTTCCTGATCACACAAAAGCATGAAATGCCTCATGCTTGCCTGGGGAGACCAGGACTGGGTGGGGCCACATGTGGCTTCCTAGGGGCCCCGTTGTATGTATCACTCCTTCTCAGTGAGCTCTGTTCTTCCTGAACCTAGTGAAAACGGATGAGGGTGAGGACAGAGGTCCTAGGAGGGTCCTGGGGTGACTTGGTAGGAGGTGGGGCCAAGCGTCTCTAAGGGTCCTGTGTCCCTGCCTCCCTAGAACAGGAACACGCAGGAGTTCTCTGATGGTGTGGCTGGTTTCAGGGTCTCAGGGAAGTCTCTTTGTTATTTTATTTTCTGATTATTTGAGGCTCCTGAGTTCAACATGGAAATGCAGTTAAGTATGATGACGATGATGACGAAGATGATGATGAGTTTACTTCATGCCAGGCAGCTTGCTAAAGTCTGTACCTAGATTACTTCATTTAGCCTCAGTCACCCTGGGGGTTTGGCAATGCAGCCGCACCTCCCTGAGGAAGAAACTGAACCTCAGAGCCCTGCCCCTTCGTCTCTCTGTTCTCTCTCTGCAGGTGGCCTCCTGGGGTCCTGTTCTCTTCAGTGCTCAGAATTCTAACCAACCTCCACCCAGCCCCGCATTTCATTCCAAGCTCCGTCCGGGACAGTGTGATATCATCACACTCAACCCGCAACATCACCAAACTCAACCTATGCCTTGTGTCTCTCCTCCTCCTTGCCCAGGCCTGAGCTCCTCCCTCTCCATGATGACTCCTCTGCCCTCTGTGATAAAGCAGGAGCATCACTATCTTGAACAAACTCTAAGTCTCCCTTGATTAAAAAACCGCCTAAATCCAGCCCCAAAACATCAGCCTAATGGCTAATGTCAGCATAACCAGAAACATGCCAACCCCGAGATGAACCCCTCTCCAATCAGAAACATGCCAACCCTGAGACACCTCCCCTCCGACCAGAGACGTTCCAACCCACGGTCAACTTTTCCTCACGTAGAAACATTCCAAACCTGTGATAAGCCCCCAGCTTCCAAAACCCTTAAATATCCTTAGTCTGTAAGAGAGAACAGTCCTGACCAAAATTGGCCAGAAGCCCCTCTCCGGTTTACTCTCTGAAATAAACCTGTCTGTGACAGTTGAGCAGCTTTTTTTTTTTTTTTTTATGGAGTCTTGCTCTGTCGCCCAGGCTGGAGTGCAGTGGTGCAATCTTGGCTCACTGCAAGCTCCACCTCCCGGGTTCACGCCATCCTCCTGCCTCAGCCTCCCGAGTAGCTGGGACTACAGGCACCTGCCAACGCACCCAGCTAATTTTTTGTTATTTTTAGTAGAGACGGGGTTTCACTGTGTTAGCCAGGATGGTCTCGATCTTCTGACCTCGTGATCTGCCCACCTCGGCCTCCCAAAGTGCTGGGATTACAGGCGTGAGCCACTGTGCCCGGCCTGTTGAGCAGCTTGAGCAGCTTTTTATGCTTCTTTCTTTCTTTTTTTTTTTTTTTTTGAGACAGAGTCTTGCTCTGTCGCCTAGGTTGGAGTGCAGTGGCATGATCTTGGCTCACCACAAGCTCCACCTCCCGGGGTCACGCCATTCTCCTGCCTCAGCCTCCTGAGTAGCTGAGACTACAGGCGTCCGCCACCACGCCCGGCTAATTTTTGTATTTTTAGAAGAGATGGGGTTTCACCATTTTGGCCAGGCTGGTCTCGAACTCCTGACCTCAGGTGATCCGTCCTCGGCCTCCTAAAGTGCTGGGATTACAGGTGCAAGCCACTGTGCCTGGCCTCTTTCCTCTCAAAGATCCCCCCAGCACCAGTCTCTGTTCTTCCTCACCCTTTCCCCACGTCCCCAATTCACACTGTATTTATACCAGGCACATACCTCCGATTCACACTGTATGTATACCAGGCTCATGACCCCGATTCACACTGTGTATATTTATACCAGGCTCATGCCCTGATTAACACTGTACTTATACCAGGCTCATGCCCTGATTCACACTGTCTGGACTTATACCAGGCTCATGCCCCCGATTCACACTGTCTGTATTTATACCAGGCACTATGCGAGGCCTCGGGATGCAGCGGCATGGAGAAGCATCCGGTTCCTGTTGTCACAGAACTTCCAGCCCACTGGCCGCGTTTGTGATCACACAAAGAAAGGTAAAAATGCAACTGTGGGTAGCATGACAAAGGAGAGGCACGTGGTACCAGGAGAGCTCGTGAAAGGGGAGAACTGGGGAAGACTTCCTGGAGGAAGGACATTTCAGCTGAGATGTGGAGAAGGATGAGCAAGAATTCGATTGTTTCCAAAGGAAGGAGGAGTATCCCAGGCGGAGAGAGCAGCCATGTACGAAGGTGCTGCATGGCAAATACGTAGATGTTCAAAAAACAGTCGCTGACTGAGGAGGTAGGAGGGACTGGACGGAGGTCAGCGTGGCTGGGGCTGATGGAGGGAGGAGGGCGAGGCTGCAGAGGTGGGCAGGGCCAGGCCAGGCCGGGCTCGAGCAGCACCAGGAGAATGGTCCTTACACCATGAGCAGTAGGGACCGGTGTAGGACGTGAGTCTGGAATGATAGGACTGGATACAGATTTCCAAACCACCGTTCTGCCTGCAGCGTGGGGATCACAGGAAGATGAGTCGGGAGCTGTTGCGAAGGTTCAGTGGGATGATGGTGGCTGAGGCAATCCCAGCTGCTCAGGGTCTTCCACAGAACAAAGTCCAAATGCAGGCCAGCTTTACATTTCCTGTGTGTGTGTATTTGTTTGAGATGGAGTTTGGCTCTTGTTGCCCAGGCTGCAGTGCAATGGCGAGATCTCGGCTCACCACGACCTCCGCCTCCCGGGTTCAAGCATTTCTCCTGCCTCAGCCTCCCAAGTAGCTGAGATTATAGCATCCACCATGCCCGGCTAATTTTGCTTTTTTTTTTTTTTTTTTTTTTGAGACGGAGTCTCGCTCTGTCACCCAGGCTGGAGTGCAGTGGCCGGATCTCAGCTCACTGCAAGCTCCGCCTCCCGGGTTGACGCCATTCTCCTGCCTCAGCCTCCCGAGTAGCTGGGACTACAGGCGCCTGCCACCTCGCCCGGCTAAGTTTTTTTTGTATTTTTAGTAGAGACGGGGTTTCACTGTGTTAGCCAGGATGGTCTCGATCTCCTGACCTCGTGATCCGCCCGTCTCGGCCTCCCAAAGTGCTGGGATTACAGGCTTGAGCCACTGCGCCCGGCCATAATTTTGCATTTTTAGTAGCAACAGGGTTTCACTATGTTGGTCAGGCTGGTCTTGAACTCCCGACCTCGGTGATCCCAGCCTTCCAAAGTGCTGGGATTACAGGCATGAGCCACTGCGCCTGGCCTACATTTCCTGTTTCATCCTCCACTATTTTCTTCCACAACCACTGGGCCCAGCCGATCTGAGTTGCTCGAGGTTCGAGCGCCGACCTCCACAGGGCTTCATTCTGGCTATTTCTCCTGCTTCTCCAAAACGCCACGTGTCCAAATCCCTCCATCCTTTAAGGGGTGGCTCCAAGGCCACCTCCTCTGTGAAGCCCACCAAGATTCCTCTAGCTCTGCCAGAGGAATAATAAACCCTGGCACTCTTGGAACATATATCTCGTGCTGGGAACAATGCTAAATGCTGCCACCCATTAGAGCAATTCATCCTCTGCATTAGTCTGCTCTCATGTTGCTAATAAAGACATACCCTAGACTGGGTAATTAATAAAGGAAAGAGGTTTAACTGACTCACAGTTCAGCATGGCTGGAGAGGCTCAGGAAACTTACAATCATGGCAGAAGTGGTGGTAAACACGTCGTTCTTCACATGGTGGCAGGAAGGAAAAGTGTTGAACAAAAGGAGAAAGTCTCTTATAAAACCATCACATTGGCTGGTGCGGTGGCTCATGCCTGTAAGCCCAGCACTTTGGGAGGCCGAGGTGGGTGGATCACCTGAAATCGGGAGTTCAAGACCAGCCTGGCCCACATGGCAAAACCCTGTCTCCACTCAAAATACAAAAATGAGCCGGGTGTGGTAGCAGGTGCCTATAATCCCAGCTACTCAGGAGACTGAAGCAGGAGAATTACTTGAACCCGGGAGGCGGAGGTTGCAGGGAGCTGAGATTGCACCATTGCATGGCTGAGGTGGGCGGATCA